AGAAACATTTCTCTCAGACCTTGGCTCGGCTCCACTCTCTTAATTTGGACAGATAAGCCTCGTTGTTTTCACATTTCCACAATCCCCTGCACTTTTGGGTGAAGAGTAAATATTTTTTTGTTTGCTAGGCAACAGGGCCGAAGCAGAGGCGCTGCTGAACATTCACGATGACTTCCTTCTTCCAATGCTCCCAGTCCGCCCTCCCACTGCTCTCCACACCCACACAGCAGCCTCTGTCACAGCTAATGAAGGACTGTGCTCCAACATCCTCCCTCAGACTCCCTGTTTGGCCCATGGTTCCATGGAGAGGAGTGGAGTTCTCCGTGACAATATACACCTTATTCAGTACTATTATTACTTCACATCATTACACATTCGCAGCGTCCCTGCCTCTGGCCTGGAGGAAGTGGGAACAGTTTTCAGTGGACATTGGTGATGAATTACAACAACAACAACATCCTGTCTTTTATTTTAGATCACCGCTGGCTGATGTCACAGATGTGCAGTGTAAAGTGCTGTTACATGTACGACACTTTTGATAAGAAATGTCTCGTATTAAGAGATTAAGAGATTAGATTACTATGTATAATCCCATTCCAGTGGTGCAGCCGGGGGATGTGGGTCAGAAAAGCCTGACATAACTGAACACGCAAGACGTCTTTGACTTAAGTCAAAAATATGTCAACAAGGAGACTTTTCCTTATTAGATTTAGTTATCCATCCATCCATCCATCCATCCATCCATCCATCCATCCATTACCGGGTCGCGGGGGTAGCAGTCGCCACCCAAATCTCACTGCACCGTACCAACCCCCCTGAACCTTCCTGCGGGTGGTGAGTCCACTGGAACGTACCAACCGCCCTAACCGGGATTCAAACTTGTCCAGGAGGTGAACCCTGGGGTTCCACCAATGACAGAGACATTGGCTCTGGGACTGAGCGCCACAGATTTAGTTATAATGAAATAATATTAATAATAATAATTGAGTCTCTTATTCACAGTGTGAGTCTTTGCAACCTACACAGGCTGCCACAGGAGGCGCCATTAAGTATGTGATTCCTCAGGGCTCGAACCCAGCACCTTCTGCGTGTAAGGCAATCGTGATAATCGCTACTCTTTGCCTTTTTGTATTTCCTTGGTTTCTCCCTCGGCAGATATTAGTCTTTGTTGTTGTTGTTGCTGTGGTTCACACCAAAAATACAACAAATTCCTTGGAACATGTGAAGTGGCCGCTGTGTTTAAAAGCTCGATTTAAACCTGCGGGAGGAGTTCTCCAACAGGACATAAAGCTCGATTTAAACCTGCGGGAGGAGCAGGACACCATGGAGACAGTTTGAAGATATTTGGTTTCATCACTCTTTTGCCAGACTTCGATACTAAAACATTATTATTTTTTGTTTGTGTCACATTTCCCAGATTCATCTGACTCCATGGTTCACTCGTCAGATGTTATATTATGGCTCAGCTGAACACAAATTCCTACTTTGTCTTTTTTGCACAAACTTTACCAGAAGGAACGAATAATAATAAAAACATGACATGATTTGGTTCTTTTGCCAATTGCCCCTGTACATCTATTCACGGGGCAGGGGAGTGGGGGCATCTGGTCTTCACAGACAGTCATCTGGTGGGGGAGGGGTCCAAACAGGACATTCCATTACAGGACTACATATAAAGACAGAACTGAAATAATCCTGCTTGTTTTTGGGTCGTGGGAGCAGACCAGCAAGACAGACAGAGAAACACACACACACACACACACACACACAACACTGAAACACTGGCGATTGAATCGGTGAACCAGTGACTGTGCTGTGGCCGTGCGGCCTGGAATATCTTTCCATTACAGCTGTTTATATGTATGTCTGGTCCAGTATGAGGAACGTTTTTAATTAGTGATGAACTTTGATCACCAGGCCATGCTGTTAGCTTAGCAGCTAGAGGTTCAGCCAGTGCAGTATGACACAGTTCAGTCTAACTTTACTTTGCTGTGAGAACAGAAGATTTCTACTTCCTGTTTGGTTAGATTTTCCCTCCTCCCTGAAAACAGTCGGAGGTGTGTGACAGTGACATGACTGACACACGAGGGCATGGTCAGCGACCTTGCGCGATCCGAGCAAATCAGGATCACCGCCGCCGTCACTACTGTCCTGTGGTTTTAATCCAGTTACAGCCAGTTGCCACAAAAACTGCATGTCAGCGGAGAAGTATGCATGGAGATACTTTAATGTCACGACTTGATTAATGTCCTTTCTTAGTCACACAACGCCGTGCAGTAGAAACAGGTTGTGGTCGTAAAATTCAATCTCAGACACATGGCTGCGAGAGAAATTCAGACACCGTAAGTACCGGTGGTTTCTGCTTTAATTTGCGGAGAGTTCTGTCTTGTTTAAACTGTGACAAAAGCTGACCACATAATAACACAGACTGTTTAAGTCCACCAAACCCGCATTAACGCAGTCGCATAAAATTTTTTGGACTTCAAGAAGTCAGTTGTGGAGAGAAATCATTTCCTGGAACAACATGATCCGGTTAGAATTACTGCAGTCAAAAAACAAATTAGGACAAGTCAGTCCAATCGAGCGCAGATAGAAAATGACAGGATATTGCAGATATGGTGAGAGAGACAACACTCGGGAGAAAATCTGACAGAGATTTGGATAAACTCTCCCCTAATAAATGGTTGTGCTGCACAGATTGACAACTTCCCTGTGGCTACGGCGGCGAGCAGCGTTCTGGTTTTTACTATATTTGACATGAAATATTCAAGTGCAGCATTTTTCTGTTTTCGGGCAAATGATGTGAACGGCCACAAACGATCGAGTTTGAGGCGTCCCAGAAAACTCACGCTGAATGTCTGATTTTGATCGGTGAAGTTATGATAAAGGAAAAAAAAGAAAACATATTTGAGATAATGTGATTTTGAAAAGAGTTGACAGTTTTTTGCTGCCAGAGTTAAAACCCACATGAATTTCAACGACACGTTGTAGAAATAAGTCTGCCCTGTAATAATTTCATTATAATAAAATTTAAGAACATCAGATACATTTCCCACTAACTGCGGAGAAGGAGGTGGAGGAGATGAACGTCACTGTGGAGTAAAAGGTTCAGTCAGTGAAGAACCCTACTCAGCCAACCATAGACCAGGGTTGGTTTGTAATGGACCTGGAACATGGAGATCTATTGATTGTTGAATGACCAAATGACTGTGCTGTGCTCTGAGTTTGTCTTCTCTTGGTTCTCTGTTTCTTTCTTCCGTGTGTGTGTGTGTGTTTGTGTGCATTTCATCTGTTTCTTTCTTCCGTGTGTGTGTGTATGTTTGTGTGCATTTCTGGATGGCACCCATGCATGATGGCACAGCCCTAAGCGACTGCAGTGTTGTAAATCAGATAGTACGTGTCTGATGCGGCAGACGAGGACAGGTCTGTGCTGCGACTGTGGACTTCAGACCCTGCTGCCTTGAACCGGACTTTCAGTTCTCGTGGAGATTTTTTTAACATCAGTAAAATTCCTGAAATTTAATCTAGTGGTAGAAATGAGAAATAAACTCCAGATATGTGATGGTCCACTTCAAAGTACTTTCATGGCCTTCATCTGAAACACTTTAACTCTGAGTCAGCTCCTTGTGATCGTTAAGATTAGGACAAACCAAATAACACATGTAGGAAATATATAAAACTCTTTTGTTGGAATAAATGGATTCATACAGGGGTCAACACGGGGTCCGCAAACCCCAAGGTGTCCACAGAGGATTGCCTTGTTTAGACAGTTATTTTAGTAGCTACAGTAAATAATAACAAGGTCGTTTTCCGTCAGTTAAAGTTTAAGTCCGTGGCCTAAAAATCAATGAAGAGCCTCGGTCTGAAAACATGAATCCACACGGTGTATTTAAGGCGTCGTGTTGGAGCAGCTGGGACTCGTTCCATTTTGGAAGGAGCTGCGTGAGTCAGTGGGTTCCAGTGCGGCGCACTCTACAGGATGATCTATGCCAGTGCTCGGTTCCAGCCACTGACTGTGTTGTTGTAATGTGTTGCTTCAGGGTGTGAGCACAAGGAAAAACGTTTCGCTCTACTCCATCACACACACACACGCACACACGATCCCAAAGATACAGGACAAAATACGTGTGTGTGTGTATCTGTGTGTGTGTGTGTGTGTGTTTATGAGCTTACCAGATATAAAGTTACAGGCAAAAAGTGAATTAATCCTTTAAGTCAATGTGTAATGGTGACGGGAGTGGCTGCAGTTTAGTGCACTGATGAAATAATGGATCCAAAGCCAGGTCAGTGAATCATTTCACACATGGGGGGTGGGGGGAGTCAGTGGGGGTAAATAGTTAGACTGTATAAACGCTGCTATCTTGAGAACACAATAGGAGTTGATGGGAAAGAAAACAACTCTTGAAGTAGCTTCTAAAATCCAGAGTGTCAGCGGTGACGCCGTGTCCTGTGATTATCACATGCACGAAGATTACAGTGCAGTCAGTGCGTGATGTCAACGCCAGAGCTCAGCACATACTGAAGCACTTGGGTGTGGTGGAAAGAACAGCAGCAGAAGTCACTGCTCTCAATAAGGTGTCAACACAGTCAGCACGACCAATACCAGCAACAAATACAACTTCACATAAATAGAAGGTTTGTACTGTCCAAGGTGTTAGCACATTAGCAAGAGTTAGGAGTTTTTAAACCTTAAACTTTTAAAAAATATTTCCTAACTGGTTTTAGTGGAAAAACATAGGTCTAGAGCAAATACTGGAAACAAAGTGGTAAGAAATGAGAATGTTTAAAGACATGGGATATTTTTGCTCATAGTTGAGAATTAGGACATTTAGGAAATGAGATTTCAGATTTTTATTATGACATTTTTACTCTTTAGAAAAAAAGAAATGACTCTTGTGCTGTTGTTTTTGATAGATATGTCATGTGGAGTTTTTTTTTCTTACACCTAAAACATTTACTGTTTTAGTCCCTGGTCTTTGGAAGTGGAATTCCCTGATCTACTGTGGGCAGTTTCTTTTTTTTTCAGTTCACTAACCTGCAGTTTAAGTTAAAATGACTCCAAACCATTGGTGCCTGGTGATTGGTTGGTCCTTGACGATGTACAGTAGCTGAAGACGTAAACAAGTGATGGCAAAGCAGCAGCTGATGATTTATTTTTGGGATGCTGATAACGCTAAATAAAGAAAAAGTCTCCTCTCCGCATTCCCTCATCACTTTGATGAGTTTGGTCAGAAACCTCTTAATGGTCGATCAATAAACCTTTACCATCAGCCTTGATTCCAGGAATCCACCCTAGCATTTCTCCACCGTGCCCCGCAGCCATTTGAACGTCCTAGAAGCCATTCCCCGAATCGGTCAGACCAAGCATCGCCATGACAACCAGCTTCTAGAGCCAGTAAATGGTACAGTAGGGCAGCAGCAGCTGCTGAATTGGTATCTGACTGTGACGTGGTGAGCAACACCCAGATCAGATCCACAAACTGGACCACGTTTTTATAATTCAGGTCATAATTACCAGATTAAAATGAAACGTCTTTGGGTTAATAGGTGACTCGCATTCTACAAAAATGAGGTTCGTGGGCTGGATGCAGACCATTAGTTGCCATTTGAGGGTCCTTGCTTTTGGCTGCAGTTGCAGTTTCAGCCCCTAGCTTTGAAAGGCAACACTTGTTTGTGATGTAAGAGCAGCTGTTCACTGTTTGACGTTGTTGCTAAAGTAAAAAAGAAGACTTTTATTATCCTTGTTGAGGAGATGTTCGCCCTCAGGCCGCAACTGTAGTGTGAAGAATCCTGGTTCCACAGCTGGTCCTCAGACCAGACTTTGAGCATGAACCTGTACAATGTGTATGGTGCGTAAGAATAGTCAGAGTTGACTTTCAGTCATAACCAGTGGTATCGTAGCAGCTGCTCTCTGTTCATTCAGTGATTAAAACGAATGCTAACTTTTGATTGTGGAACTGTGTTTTGCTCATTCAGCTCTGTAGTATTTGATTGACTCGGAGCCGCAGTCATCACCTATTGGCTGGAAGGAGAACAGTAAAACGACTGACTAATGCATTGTGCCAATCCAAACATGGATCACAAATGATGTGGAAAATCCTTCTGCAGATTGATATTGGAAATGTAAAGCTTGTCAATACATGAAAGGGAAGATGAGTGAGTTATAACTCCTCTCTTCCTTCCTTCCTTACCTCCATCTTTCTCCCTACAGAGCGACAGGCTTCTGATCAAAGGGGGGAGGATCGTGAACGATGACCAGTCCTTCCACGCTGACATCTACATGGAGGATGGCCTCATTAAGTAAGTCTTCCTCTGGCCTCATTTCTGCTCTGCGCTCTTATCTGTTCCAGTGGCTTTCACTTCCTCGCCCATTCTCATTCGTTCTCCTATACTTTTTGTCTCTCCGTCGTATAATTTTTATGGGACTGCATGTGGCTTTTGCAGATTTAGAGTACCTTTAGGAGAAATTAATCTCTCTCTGACGTGGAAAAAAAATGACAGAGCGTTCCTTCATTCGGAAAATCTGATCAGTTTGTATAAATCCTTACTGACATATTAATGTGTTTTCTGATTTTGACGTGTAATCAATCACCGTTTCTGAGATTTGAGATCCCCGCAGAAGTCATGTAAGGAAAGGAACACAAACCTCGAGGAATGTGGTTTCCTTCTTCGAGATGACTGTGTTTTAATGGTAATAACAGTAGAAAAAAATCTGATAAAAATTTAAATAAACAGAAGTCTGTAGTGACTGTTTTCTGACTGATTGATTCCAAAGACCAGACCTTTGATGCTCCTTTGATACTCGATCTCCAAACCGGTTACTAGTTAGATGTTGTTGACCTTTTAGAATTTACTTTGCGCCTACACTGGAATGGTTTCCAGGACAAATCTTTATAAATATAATTATTATAATTTTTTTTTTTTGCGGTTCAAAATGAAGCATTGATAGAAAGAATAATTTTTCAAATTAATTATAGAACTAGGTTATTTCAAGAATGTGTGCCAAGACTTTTAAAAGTGTTTGTTCTCAGGGTGTGACAGTTTAACTGTGCAGCGTTCTGTTATTGCCCCAGGACAGAAGGCGAGGTAACACGAGCGACTTCCTCTCTCCTCTATTAG